GAAAACTCGCTGTGTATAACGAATACTCTCTTCCAACAACCTAAAAGACGGCTTTACACATGGACCTCACCAGACGGTCAACACCGAAATCAGATTGACTACATCCTTTGCAGCAAAAGGTGGCGGACATCCATCCAGTCGGTGAAAACAAGACCTGGGGATGACTGTAGCTCAGATCACGAACTTCTTATTGCCCAATTTAGAATAAAACTAAAGAGATCAGGGAAAATACACAGACCAGTTAGATATGATCTCACTAACATTCCTAGCGAATATACAGTGGAAGTGAAGAACAGATTTGAAGGACTAGATTTAGTAAACAGAGTCCCAGAAGAACTATGGACAGAAGTCCGCGACATTGTTCAGGAGGCGGCAACAAAGTACGTTCCAAAGAAAAAGAAAACCAAGAAGGCAAAATGGTTGTCTGCTGAGACACTGGAAGTAGACCAAGAAAGGAGGAAAGCAAAAGGAAACAGTGAAAAGGGGAGATATGCCCAGTTAAATGCGCAATTCCAGAGGTTAGCCAGAAGAGATAAGGAACTATTTTTAAATAAGCAATGCATGGAAGTGGAGGAAGACAACAGAATAGGAAGGACAAGAGACCTCTTCCAGAAAATTAGAAACATTGTAGGTAAATTTCAGGCAAAAATTGGTATGATAAGAAACAAAGATGGCAGGGACCTAACAGAAGCTGAAGAGATCAAGAGAAGGTGGCGAGACTATACAGAAGATCTGTATAGGAAGGATAATAATATTGAGGATAGTTTTGACGGTGTGGTGAATGAATTAGAACCAGACATCCTGAGGAGTGAGGTTGAATGGGCCTTAAGAAGCATTGCTAACAACAAGGCAGCAGGAGACGACAGGATTCCAGCTGAACTGTTTAAAATCTTAAAAGATGATGCTGTCAAGGTGATGCAGGCCATTTGCCAGCAAATATGGAAAACACAAGAATGGCCATCAGACTGGAAAAAATCAACTTATATCCCCATACCAAAAAAGGGAAATGCGAAAGACTGATCAAACTTCCGTACAGTGGCCCTTATTTCTCATGCCAGTAAGGTAATGCTCAAGATCCTGCAAGGAAGACTCCAGCAATACATGGAGCAAGAGTTGCCAGATGTTCAAGCTGGGTTTAGAAAAGGCAGAGGAACGAGAGACCAGATTGCCAATATCCGCTGGATAATGGAGAAAGGCAGGGAGTTTCAGAAAAACATCTATTTCTGCTTCATTGACTATTCTAAAGCCTTTGACTGTGTGGATCATAATAAATTGTGGCAAGTTCTTGGTGGATGGGCATACCAAGCCACCTTGTCTCTCTCCTGAGGAATCTGTACAAGGACCAAGTAGCAACAGTCAGAACTGACCACGGAACAAGAGACTGGTTCAAGATTGGGAAAGGCGTACGGCAAGGCTGCATACTCTCACCCAACCTTTTTAACTTGTATGCAGAACACATCATGCGATGTGCGGGGCATGAATGCAAAGCTGGGGTGAAAATTGCTGGAAGAAACATTAACAACCTCAGATATGCAGATGACACCACTCTGATGGCCGAAAGCGAGGAGGAGCTGAGGAGCCTTCTAATCAAGGTGAAAGAAGAAAGCGCAAAAGCCGGGTTGCAGCTAAACATCAAAAAAACCAAGATTATGGCAACAAGAATGATTGACAACTGGAAAATAGAGGGAGAAACCATGGAGGCCGTGACAGACTTTGTATTTCTAGGTGCAAAGATTACTGCAGATGCAGACTGTAGCCAGGAAATCAGAAGACGCTTACTTCTTGGGAGGAGAGCAATGTCCAGTCTCGATAAAATAGTGAAGAGTAGAGACATCAGACTGGCAACAAAGATCCGCCTAGTCAAAGCCATGGTGTTCCCTGTAGTAACCTACGGATGTGAGAGCTGGACCTTAGGGAAGGCTGAGCGAAGGAAGATCGATGCTTTTGAGCTGTGGTGTTGGAGGAAAGTGCTGAGAGTGCCTTGGACTGCGAGAAGATCCAACCAGTCCATCCTCCAGGAAATAAAGCCCGACTGCTCACTGGAGGGAAAGATACTAGAGACAAAGTTGAAGTACTTTGGCCACATCATGAGGAGACAGGAAAGCCTAGAGAAGACAATTATGCTGGGGAAAGTGGAAGGCAAAAGGAAGAGGGGCCGACCAAGGGCAAGATGGATGGATGGCATCTTTGAAGTGACTGGACTGACCTTGAAGGAGCTGGGGGTGGTGACGGCCGACAGGGAGCTCTGGCGTGGGCTGGTCCATGAGGTCACGAAGAGTCGGAGACGACTGAACGAATGAACAACGACGACCAGTGTGAAGATACCTCAGTTTGACCTGAGAGTCATTTAACCTGAAGACTATAAACACCTTGCTAGAGGGCAATTTCAACTTAAAAAACAATGGCCAGAAAAAAAATGGGTAACACATAAACTGGTGTCTATGGTTGCTAGTGAGCAAAACATTGGGTCTGTCATATTGCCCAAGCAGAGGCAACTGTTTACCAGATTATTTTTAAAGCTTTTTCACCGCCACAGCCAGACCTCTAGCTCTTTAGCATCAGTCCAATTTCCCGAGCAGCTTGGCATGCATGCAGCAAAAGCAGGTAGATTTGAGAGTGGGGTGAAGGTTATTCAAGGTCTACCACTCCATTAAAACCACTCAAAAACAGTGCTGCTGCTGCTACCTGCCATCTTGGGTGTGGATATAGGAAACTATGCATGCACAAGCTATGGCCTGCACTTTAAGAAAAAGGGTAGCATGAGGAGATATAAGGATGTGTATTAAGATTTAAGGCAACATAAGCCAGTGTGCATGGTGCATCTTCCTGATCCCTCATTCTCACATCTCTCTACTCTCCTGCTCTGAAACAGCATCTGGGATAAGGGGTCATGAATATTTCACAAGGATAATTACCTGACCTGGAAAGACTAAGCCTACTGGAGTCTTGCTGGCAGATTTAATGGCATCTTCCTCCCCTTTCACTGCTCAGCATGGCCCATGGCCCTTGCTGCTGCTTTTGGCTTTCACCTGCATCCCGGCAATTAGCCCTAGCTCCCTCCCCACAACCCAACTCCCATTGCAGGCCCAAAACTTGGCAGGCTGGTCATGGCAGGGGTCCTGCCTTTGCCCTCTACATCCGGTCTTTCACTCCTCCTCACCTTCCTGCTTCTAAAATCCTTGGCAATAATCCTGCCAGGGGACTTAGCCCTTATCCTACTCTCTGCTCCTCAGTGAATAAGCACATAGCACCTCTTCCTGTTCACCCACATACTCACTGCACCTGTACTCTTCACATTTAACTCTGGCTACTAGCAGGCTTCCAGATGCTAAAAATAACCCACTCTTCCAGCTCTCACATCCTCTCCCTTATGTGAAGTTAAATTAAGAAAGCTGGGACTAGGAGGATAAATGCTCTTCTTGCCGTTTCACCCCAAGTGCTGCCAACCCCGCCCTTCTTTCCACATATTGAGAGCGAGCGAGCAAGCAAGCGAGAGCGCACACCTCTCTAGAACACTCTCTGTCACAATTTAGAGCCCCCAGGGCAATATTACACGCCATAAAGCCAAGATCGCTGGTGCCATCCACCAAATTCCACGCTCTCCCTGGAAGCACATGTGCACACGTACACACACACATGCCAGGGCGTTATTGAATTTTATTTTAGAAAGCTCAGGGATCTTTCCTATCTTTACAAAACATACTTGCAGCTAATTTTGAAAATGGAAAAACAACAATCGAATGATACCAAGGAACAAGATACTTTTAAATTTGCGATTTCCTCCTGTTGCTAAACATGATGAGAAGGATGCATTTTTTGTATAGTTTTGTACCAAAATATGACAATTTTGGCAAATAATCAAAGAGATAAAGCAGCAAAATCTCCACCCAACCATCCACAAAAATATATCTCTGTGGGAAAGGCCTACGCAGAACATCCTCAATTTAATATGCCACTTTGACAACAATGTTCAGTCCAATTGTATTATAAATGACATATTCTTTTCTTTAGAATGGGAACATCCAGCCTGTATAAATATTTGGGTATGTAAGACACAAGCATGCGCTTTGAACAAGAGGAAACAAGGACTTAGGAAGGAAATACTAGTAAATACTGGCATCATCATGTGCCCAGTCATCAACTAGCAAAGATCCTTCTTCTGCCCTTGAGAAAGGCATCTTCCAGGTGACCAGAAATAATACCTGCAATGATCTGGAAAAAAAACCCAAACCCTATTTCCAATTAATTACTCTTGTAGAAACCCTTGCAACAGGAGCAATGTGTCTCCCCAAAACTGCTGAGGCGCAATTCCTACTCTGTCACCCCTGGCTATGCTAGCTAGATTTTATGGAAGCTACAGCTCACAACCATCTGTCTCTCCCTGCCTTAGAAGGTCCTCTCTATCAGTTTCTTATAGTTTGCTTCACCCACTGTTAGGTGGAAGGAGGGCTTGTTGACTTTGCTGTTAATTAGACTTTGCCTGGCATCTGATAGATTAGTCCCCAGTAACTAGAGCAGACTCATTAAAATCAGCTGCTGACTGGTGAGTCAAAACATAGAGAAATCTGATGGACTCAGTGGGCCTACTCTTGTCCGGACTAAATAGAATGTAAATCTTTGTGACCTGTAGCAGTTCAAAGACTAACATACACATCACTGTCTAGTTACATTTTCCACACTAAAGCTCTTTTCACCTGAGATCTGATGTAGCCACCCTAGTAGATGTCTTCCTGTTATTCTTCAGCTTGACCTAATACAGCTCTTACCCCCATATAGACACTACTATCCTGCCTTAATGCTTGGCAAAACATTTTCCTCATGAGTACTGTGAAGTCTACACAGGCTACAATACCAACAAAAATGTTAGGTTTTTGTAATTTCACCCTCCTACTTCATCTGCAAGAACCTACCCCACCAGGAACTTTGAGTGCAGGTGCTGAAATAAGGCCTTCAAGAAAGGTCCTGGACACAGGACAGGGTCAGATTCGAGCACAGCAAGATCACTGGAATTCCAATGTTTAATTGTTGTCCAATTTTACAGTGTTGACCATTTTGCGAACATTTGGTTGAAAGGCAGCACATGGATATATTTAAGAAATTATATTGAAGGCTAGAAAAACAAAAGTATGCCACATAAAATCTAAACCTTAACAAAAACTATATATGCAACTATCTTGGCTCTGAAACTTTCATTCATGTTCACTTGAGGCAATTTTTCATAATTTCAGCCAACTGGGTTTACACCTTTATAAAGAAAACATAAAAAAAAATTGCGGGGGGGGGGGGGGGGGAGAGAAAATATATGGCTGATGACTCTCAGGTCATTGGGTTGGTAAGAAAGGTTTGGCTAACTTTAAAACCATTCTCCAAAGTTCTAAACTCATTTAGAACCAGAATTCAGCATGTTGGAGAGCTCCCTGAAACTTGAAACATGGATTTCCCCGCTCCATTGATAGCACAGAATCATAAGAGTTGAAAGAACACACAATCAAACCACCCTCAACAGTTGGTCATCTGGTCCCTGTATAAAGTCCTTCAGAAAAGGAGATTCCACCAACAAGCATGATCCCTCCTCAATATGACATTCTTCAAAATATTTCAAAAAGGCTTTCATGTCACTTATTGAAGTTTGCTTCTTTAAGCTAAATATATATATCCAGCTTCCTAAGTCACTCCTCATAGGGCTTGGTTTCCAGACCTTTGATCATTTTGGTTGCAATTTGACAATAGCCTTCTAAAATCATGGTGCCCAAACTGGATGTGATATTCCAGCGGAGGTGTAACCAAGGCAGAATAGAATTATACTGTCACTTCCCTTGGTCTTGATACTATACTTCTATTGTTGAATCACAATAGATTTTTTAAGCTGCCACACTACACAATTAACTCATGTTTGGCTTGAGACCTACTACAACTCCTAGATCCATGTGGTCAAGCCAGATGTCACCTACCCTATATCTCTGTATTTAATTTTTCTGCCTAAGTGTAGCACCCTACATTTTTTTCTGTTGACATTCATGATGTGGGAGTTGCCAACTTTCGCTGGTGACTGTGAAAAACTTCTGTATTTCAGTGATTTATATTAGGGAGTCAAGATTGATTGTATTACTCTATCAAGTGTAGATTCTGTGATATACCCAAGTTTTATATATCAAGTATGATTCCACAGCTTCAATCCCAGTAAAACCAGTTCCAAAATATAGTATTTTGAATAAGCATTAATGCATCAATTTTTTTCAACACTCAAAAGATGGCGGATTTAGTTAGGAGCAAGAACATGTGAAAAAAGAGCACATACCTCTGAATGGAGAAGCTGACCATCTCAAATTACGGGGTTGTTGTAGGTTTTTCGGGCTATATGGCCATGCTCTAGAAGCATTCTCTCCTGATGTTTCACCTGCATCTATGGCAGGCATCCTCAGAGGGTGGCTGCCATAGATGCAGGTGAAACATCAGGAGAGAATGCTTCTAGAACATGGCCATATAGCCTGGAAAACCTACAACAACCCAGTGACTCTGGCCATGAAAGCCTTTGATAATACATCTCAAATTAGTTTTCTGGTAACCACAATGGGTTTTCTAAGGAACCTTTTCCTTCATGTGATTCTCTATGTGCATTCTATTATTTATTTCCTCAAGTGACCAAGCTCACCAAGCTATGCCAAAACAGTTTAATTGTTGTCCAACCAACTATCACTGCCTTTTGTTAAAAAAGAATAAGGGGGGGGGGGTGTCATGGAGGCACCAGCAAAAAAAGACAAACTCATGAAAATGGTAAGTTCTTATGACTAAGGCCCAATTCACATGATCTTGTTTACCTTCTTTTGCTAATGAAAAGACTAATCAGCATTAAAAGAGGCCTCAAAGGTGATTACGTTCAACTCAATCCAGAAGATCTGCTGCTGCACCATTTCTGATATCTGGCCCTTCAGCCTCTGTTTAAAAACATTTAGTGAAGCAGATTCCACCACCTTCAGGCTTGGATAGATGGGAAATTTGACCTGATCCAGTAGACACACTCTCACTGCCAGCAAAGACTAGATCCACAGGTGGCACTTTGAACAGGGTTACCATCACATCAGCTGATCATATGAATTGGTCCCTTGGGGTTTCTACAAAACTAAAATAACACACAGACTCAATAATGGGTTGTAAGAGAGAAGAGCCCCGGGATTCTTAAAGTATTCTCTAGCTCTACAAGAGAACAATGTTGCATTTCTTCTCAGCTGAAGGATACTATCCCATTGAACAACACAGGCACTTGTGTACATGGTAGGAAACTGCAGAAAGAATGAGGCCCAGAAAACAGGTCCCCAACCCTTCCATAGCATCATACCATGCACAGAAGAGATCTTTGCTTTCTTCAGGGCGCAGTCAACAGGGAAACTCCCATATGGATGCAGTAAACAATGGCATTTAGGGGACAACTGTAGTAGAAGAATTATGCAACACCCCCGCCCCCCCAAAAATAAAAATTAGAAAGGGGAGCCCTTGCCATATGTTCATGAAAATGTGTCAGATACCACCCAGAAAGTGGTCCCAGAGTCAAGTCTCATAATTGGCCAGGAAAGTAGCAGCAATGGACCTAGTCTCCCTTCACCCCACAGCAGAGAGAAGGTGAATCACTTTGGCCTCAACTCAGTGCTTGGTAGAGAAAATCCATCCTGGCTTGGATCTTCCACAGTTTCCAAAGCAGACCAGCCACCTGCCATTGTCAAAACCAAGGAAGTTCCCATAACATCAGTAAGCAGGGGAGGGCAAGTGACATGACGTCAATCCTGATTGCTCCAGAGGCCAGTGAAGAACAGCCAGGTTCTGGGCATGCTTTCTTCAGCTGTCTTCCTCCATCAGTGTCATAGTTCCCCCAATAGTCATCTTCTGTGGGTGGGTCATATTTGGGACTGCGGATGTCATTGGCTGGCACATCCTTGTAGAAGGAGGAGGGATCAGCAGGGGGTGAACCCCCGAGGCCATAGAGGTGGTTGGATGAGGTGTTAGGATGAGGATGTGGGTGGGGATGGGGATGGGGGTGAGGGTGGGGAGGAGGATGAGCCACTGCACTTTCCCACTCCGGCCTACAGCCCCAGTCAAACCCAACTGTGTGGTGACTGACCAGAGGGCAGCCCTGAAAGACAGATTCACTGAGATGACGCAAGTCACGCCCCTTCAGTTCAGCAGGGGATGAACATATGACATCTGAGGTGGAGACCCGCGTGCGCCTGAACCAAGCCCAGAGGGAGCGGGCATGACAGTCACAAGCCCACGGGTTGTTGTTGAGGCGCAGGAACTCCAGGGAGGGCAAGTCTGAGAGAGTTTCCCCTGGGAGGGTGGTCAGGCTGTTGTTGAACAAGTACAGAATGGTGAGCTTGCCCAGGTCTCGGAAGGCCCAAGTTGGAATGGCGCGCAGGCGGTTCCTGTGCAGCAACAGGCGGTCTAATCCAGACAGGCCCCGGAAGACATTCTCTGAGAGCTGCCAAATCTTGTTGCCGTGCAGGAAAAGATGGCTCAGGTTAGCCAAGTCCACAAAAAGGTCATCCTGGGAGATGGAGGAAGAAGGAAAAGCTATGAAAGGAACTGCTGCTTTTGCAAAAAATGACTGTCCCTATACATGTGACCTGGCTATTGCAGCCTGACTTCCCTTGTGGCCTCATGTCTGCTGCTCCCACTCTTATGCCTGGATGGAAACCTAAAGCTTATTGACTTCTGCTCTGGCTGCCTTGCACCACAAGAGAGACACTTTCTCTCCTTCCCACCTACACACAACAAACTTTGTCCTCTCCCCACTAAGGATGTGGCTGGAAGCAATGAGCCATGATCTGTAAATGCATTTTTACGGCTGCAGGCCAGGCTGCAGTTTCCCCTCCTCTTAAGCCACAGTGCCCAGGGCCGGATAGGCATGTGGTTTTTAAGTGAGTCGCTGGCAGGGCACCGAGTATCTGCCTTTGGGAGGAACCATCATGTGGAGGAGAACCACACAGGTTCTTCACCAGTCTTTGAAGACATAGCTGAGGGTGGGTATGAGACTCATTTTTCTCTCCCCCGCCCCAGTTAACACACTAAGCCATCTATTTGGAGTGGGTCTGTCAACACAAATTCCACCACCCACACAGCCTTATTCTACCAACTAAGATAATTTTGTTTCTTATCCAGGCACAAGGTTCACGAAAAATTCACCAGCCATATTTATTATATCACTTCCCACTGGCCAGCCTTCTGACCCCTCCTTTCCTTCGCACACTGTCCTTCTCACCAACAGTAGTCAGAGACTTCCATGTTAGAGATGGAGCAAATCATTTTTGGATTTTATTTTAAACTTTAACAGAGCTTTCCAAAGTGCTGAACCTTATCCCCATGGCAGGTTCAGCACCTTTGATAGTTCATTATTATTCTGCTATGGAATAAAACTCACAACAGATTCACCACAGTTCTGACAAGGAAACTATCACTGGCCACTAGTCTCCCACTCCACAACCATACAGCTTGGCTGAAAAGCCAATATAAAAATCTCCCTTTCCCCACAGTCCAGAATGGATTCTACTCAAAAAGAAAAAGGTCATTCTATTCATACCATCCACCTGAGAACCTCTCAGGGCCCAGATGTAATGGCCCAAGTTCTTTACTACATATGAATGGTACTCCCACTCACCTGCAGACAAAGCAGGTTGTTCTCCTGGAGATAGAGGTATTGGAGGCTGAAAAGATTGCGGAAGATTGTGGTTGGAAGGCTGCTTAGCTGGCAACGGTAAAGGTGCAGAGATTGCAGCCGTTCCAGTCCCCGGAAAGTCCCTGGGTCAAGAGTGCGCAGATTACGGTTGTCCCCCAAGTCCAACTCTTCGAGAGCCTGGAGGTGCCGGAAGGTGCCGGGCTGGATAGAGGAGATGTTGTTGGAGTAGAGCCACAGGGTGGTGAGGCTTGGCCCAAACATTCCAGGCCGCAGGCTCCCGATAAGATTGTTCTGAAGGAAGAGGCGCTGGGCATTGGGTGGCAGGACCCGTGGCACGGAGGAGAAGTTATTGGCCTGGCAGCTGACTGTGGGTGGAGAAAAGTAGCAGGTGCAAAGCATTGGACATGTGGGCGCTGCCAGGGGCAAAGCCAAGAGGAGCAGGAATGTGGGAGCCAAGCCTGGAAAAGAAGAACAGGTAATGAGCCTCGCCACTCACTGAACTCATGAGGGAAATTTCAGTTGTGGCCAAACCCCTCCCCCATAGCGCGGGCTATTTTGAGACATCTATATCATTATCCAAACCACTAGGTGACACTGCTCCTCTTTACTACTCCCTACTAAACCCACACTCCATATGTCTGAAATATCTTCTACTGCAAGGCTTTCAGTTAAGCAGACATTTTTAAAAGAGTGAGCCAAGACTGACAATATTGTCTCTTGGATAGCCTACCAATTTTGTTTTTTTTGTTTTTTTTAAGATCCTTTGCCAGTTATCTTTGTTCTGGGAGGCCTGCTTACTTCCATATTAAAGAAAAGAAAGCCAAAAAACCTCCCACTCCTCAGGAGCAGAAAGGCCCCCAAATTGTGAGATTCACAAAGTCATTAAGAGTTGGCAACCCTGCCAAGGTATAATCCCACGTGAGAAGGCATGCATGCATGGCACGCGTTTCTTTCAGCAAGCAAGGCGCATAACTTTCACCATGCGCATATGCACACAGATGGTCTCACGTGAGCACTTCCATGTACGCGTGTATGGTTCCCAACCTCTGTATGCATATGCGTAGGCAGTGTGACGTGGTAAACGAGTAACACAAGCTGCCAATGCTGTTTCAGTCGTTCACACCACCTCCACTTGGGCCCTACGCTGCCTTCCCACTCCCTCCAACCTCCATTTGGCTCTTGATGAGAGATGCGCAAATGCACAGGATAATCCTATAAGACGCCTCAGCCATCGTGAGAGGGTTAGGACCATCTCCATTCTTTCTAACCCCACACTCTCTTGAAGCAGGAAAATGGCAGCTTCCAGGACCCTTCATCATTACAACCATGATGCTCCCATTACTTGAATTCTGGTATGCTCACTACTGGGCAGGGGACTCATACGAAGTAAAGCTCATCTTTTGGTTATAACATCCCAAGCTATGGTTCCCGAAGCAGCACAGAATTGCCTGACTTTTCAATCCATTATCTCTTTTTCCTTTTGGATTGAACACAAGGGTCTGTCCTATTATGAAATGGGGAGAGAGGGAATGGGAATGTTTTCAGCCACTTTTACTCCAAAAGTCACCAGCCTCAATTTGTGGCCTTCCAAAAGTGATCCGCACAGCACATCTCTCCTAACAAAGGCAAGAAGGTGGACAAGGCTGAATTGTCACTATTTGGTGTGTGTGTGTGAGGGGGGCATCCTGCTGTTTTGGCAGCCAGCTATTAATGGCTGCCAAAATAAGATGTTACTGCCTTGTAGTCCACTACATGGTCCCTATAAGAACTAGGAGAAAAATGTAGTTCCACACTCACTCTCCACACCTTGCTATTAAGCCACTTTCCTCCCCAACCCCTGCAAGGCAGGATGAGGTGGGTGGGAGGGAGGGAAGCCTGTATTCCTTGCAGCAAATGACCATTTCCTTCAATAAAAGACAGATCAGACCTCTCTCAAGGGAAAACTGGGGAGAAGCCATTCTCTGGAGCTGAGTGTGTGGGGTGGAGGGAGAGAGGGAAGGGCGCTGCAGCTGCTAATGTTGCCTGCCTCTGTCTCTGGACTCTTCTCTGATGCGGTGGAACGGCTGTAACCCAAGGAGTCTCATCCATAATTCAGGCCTGTGGCTTTCGCAGGAGCTTGGGCAGAGGGAGGGGAGGGGAAGGGATTGGAAGCTCTCATCTCTCCCCATAAAAGCCCTCTGGCCTCACTGCATTGTCTTGGGGGGCAGGGAGCTTTCAGGCAAGTTGTTACTGCTGACCTCCTACTCAGAAACTCACATATATGCACATATTCATTTGCTTTCTCTCTTTCAAAGAACACACACATACTTCCAGGGTAGCTACTGAGGTGACTTTCATGCTCACTTCATTCTCAGTCTTACTACTCTGCTCACCAAAAAAATCCAGGGATTACCTATCCCCCTGTCTTTTTCATTTCTTCCTCCTCCTCAAAACACTTCCACTATGCCACATTTGAATTGCCATACAGAAAAGGGGAGGGGGGAGGGCTTACTGGATTTTCTCAGCAAAGCCAAGATGAGGTTCATTCATAATTTTGAAGTGGAAAAATTCAAACTCAATCAAACCTCGTTTGACTCCGGTGCCTCTGTTGCTACCACACAACACTGGGGATTGCCCTTGTTCTCAGTTGGCAACACACATCTGTAATCCCCACCCAAGGCCAGACTTGTGTGTGTGCCTCTTAGTTAAGGCATTTTCCCCCACATCAAGCCTCTTCAGAGATTAAAATTCTTGATCCTTCCCTCAGAAGGAAATTTCAGTGAATGTTCATTAACCTTGCAAGATAATTCTAGCTTGTACTCCTATTAGCACAAGTCCCTCTGTGTCCTATCCCCTGGCTTTTAACCACATTGCTATGATGAATTACCACTCCCTTGAGAAAGTGCAGGAACAACTCATCCCATGAGAAAGGGAGGGTGGGAAATGATGTGTGTGAGAGAGTGACACCAGAAGTTGTGTGTATGTGTGTGCATGCGAACATGTGTGCTTGCCTTTGACAATGGGAGTGGGTCCAGCTCCCCTCCCCTTCCACTTCTGCCTCCATTCCAGGTCTTCAGCATCCAAATGCTACACACCTGAAGGCCCCTTCTTCAGTTATATAGGAAGCAAACAGGAAGTCACGGGTGGGACATCCTACCACACATCAACCCTGAGGGAAGTTGAAAGGAAGTGTGGGAAGGGTAGGGATGAGCTTTGGTGCCAGGAGACTGAAAGGGCTAGGTAACCTCTTAGGGGGTGGAAGGAAGCTATTAGAGATGGGCGGAGAGAGGAAATTGCTAGGGGTCATCTCAGTGAGAGGAGAGCACAGAGGCTTCACTGAACTAGATAGAGATTTTGGGGGCAACTCAAGACCATAAGTGGCTTACAGTCTGATTTGGGGCTATGATCTCTCCTAATATTTGGAAAATTGTAGCCCAAGATTTTAAGTCCACCATTTCTACATTCAAACTGGCTGTTTTTGGAACCTAAAGGGTAAAAGTAAAATCTTTTTCAGCAGAGAGGTTTGTTAAACCAGTGGGGAGGGGGAAAAATAATATTTTCGTCTCTATCAAAATAGCTTTCCCATCTTTTTAAGGGCAACAAATTGTTTCCTTGTCCAGGTTCACATGTCACACTTCCAGCTTATGAGGAACAGCTCTACTGAATAGAGATGAACAAGGAACGAAAGCACACAGACACCACTTTGATTTCAAGCAGAGCATTTGTCAAAAGACAAGGCATAATATGGACTAGAAAACAGCAAGGGAAGCAGCCTTCCACCCTGGGTTAAAAAGACTCTGTATGAACATTTAACTACAACTGTAGCTTGTACCCTTTCTGCAAGAATATTTGTTTTGGTTCCATCTTCATAAAGTAAAGCAATTTAAAGTGCTTCATTTTTTTAATGCTTTGTTACCATCCCATACTTCCAACCGATGAACTCATTATCCCAGCACCCTTTCCTATTTCCACACAATATGCCAGATTCAGGGTGCAGTAGGTGGCCAAGAAAGGTACAGTTGGTGGGTCATGGGTGAGAATTTTTCCACATTCCAACACATTCCTCCACAACGGAATAATGTTCTTCCAACTGCACTAGAGTTGCCCTATCTTGATTCTGACTTTTCATGGACTGTACATTGGTGCCAAGGCAATATTGGAACCACCAGCCTCCTGAGGGGTGCCATTTGATAATATAATACTAATATAAAACTACTACTAATAAATTATTTCCTGCCGTTCCCTATGGCTCGAGACTTGACCCTTCAGTTACCAACCTATGTGCAGCAAACATGATGCAGATGGGATGACAACAGGCCACTTTGGAAGGCTCCAGCCAAAGCTTCTGTGCTTCCATTATCCAAAGGACAAATGAACCAGAATCTAATCGCTAGCTAGGGATTTATAGATCTTTTTTTCCCTCAAGTGTATTTTAAAGATTGCCTGGAACGGGTTTCTCATCCTCTTGGTCAGAGATATATCCTTGTAATTGTCCACACAGCTGTTCCAAGTCAGCATGTGCCAATGTTTATAGCCACTTTCCCCAGCCTAGTACTCTCCAGGTGTATTGGAAGACAGTCTTCACCATCTCATTATAATTTCCCCAGATGTGAGATTCTAGGTGGTGCTTTGGGTCACAAAGGATATCCTGTGTTGAAAAGAGCACAGAACTTAGCTTCAGAAATTGATTCCCTTTCCCTGGCAGGGCACAGTAGGGATTGTAATTCCACCCGTATGAAGTGTTAGGGAAGTCCAAAACCTGCTCATAAAGGCTTACAAGGTCCATCTGGAAAAGGGAATCCATTTTGGAAGCCGAGTTTTGTGCTCTTTTCAACACAGGATATCCTTTGTGACCCAAAGCACTACCTAGAACCTTACATCTGGGGAAAGTATATCTCCAAGATGGGGCAGGCTGAGAGGTGAAGAAGGCAAACATCTCCAGGAGGGGCCAAGAGGGAGCCGGCCCTGACGTGGCTGCTGACGTGGGAGGCAAGCTGAACCCAACCCAATGCCTCTTTCGTCTATAATTTAACAACCCCCAAATAAAGCAGCTGCCTGTTGTTGCATAACCCATTGGGGGCCAAGGCTATAAACAGCAACAAAGAGAGCTAAGCAGGAAGGCAGGCCTCCAGTTCACACAAGGCACCGCAGAGAGGCCAGAGGGGGCAGCGACTTGGCTTGTCAGCCTGACCTCCAGCCCAGTCCCCTGGATCCCTCCCAAGGAGTCCCTGGGCAGTGCAGCTGTCCAGTGAGGAGGGCTTGCCTCCTGCCCCTGCCATTTCTTGGCTCCAGGAACCTTGGAAAGGGGCATCTCTGCCCTTCATGAACTCTTTCCCATCCTTGAAGACACAGAAAGCCTTCAAGCCATCCTTCCTTCCTTTTCTTCCCTTGGAATATAGAAAACCTTCAATTCAGTTCTTGTGGGTTTTTTCGGGCTATATGGCCATGTTCTAGAGGCATTTCTCCATGCCTCTAGAACATAGCCATATAGCCCGAAAAAACCCACAAGAACTGAATGATTCCAGCCATGAAAGCCTTCGACAAAACCTTCAATTCCTTTATCTTTACTTCCTTGGGATACAGAAAGTCTTCAAGCCATCCCTTTCTTTTCCTTCCTTGGGATATAGAAAACATTCCCTTGCCTTCAAGCCTCCTTCCTTTTCCTTCCTTGGGATAGAGAAGGACTTCCCTTCCCTTTCCCTGGGATAGAGAAATCCTTCAAGCCTCCTTCCTTGGGATACAGAAGGACTTCCCTTCCATTCCTTCCCCTGGGATTGAGAAATCCTTCAAGCCTTCTTTCCTTCCTTCCTTCCTTGGGATACAGAAAGCCTTCCCGCCTCCTTCCTTCCCTATCTCCTCTCCCTCTCCTTTCCTTCCTTTTCCTCCTTTAGGATACAGAAAGCTTTCAAGCCTCCTCCTTTCCTTCCTTCTCCTTCCTTGAGATACAGACATCTTTCAATCCTGCCTTCCTTATTTCCTCTCCCTCTCCTTTCCTTCCTTGGGATACAGAAAGCCTTCAAGCCGCCTTCCTCCCTCCCCCCCCCCTCCCAATGCATCACCTTTAAGGCCAGTGCATCTCTCAAGGGGGCTACAAGGAGCTGAACTTTCTCCCAACTTTGGGAATTAGGGTGCTTGACCTCTGATCTGGAGGGAGGAGGGTCAGGGAACCAGCTTAGCGGGGAAAGGTCTTGACCCCCCTCCCCTCCCCCTCCCCCCTGGCTCCGAGATGCTCCCTTCCTGGGCAACGGCGCCCTCGAGACCCGGCCGGCCCCCCTTCCTCCCTTTGGGGGCGTGAGCCAAGCTTTCCCAAAAGCGGCAGCCGAAGCCCCTTTAGTCTTTTCCCCAGCCCTCCGTCTGCACAGCCCAAGCGGTACGAAACCGCCCTAAAGATGAAACCATTCCTGCGGCGAAACCAGACCGCGAAGCGAGGCGGGAAAAGGCTTGAGGTCGGGGGAGACACCCGTTATTGCGGAACAAGCAGATGCGGAATAGTCACCGGAGCAGAGAACGGAGGGCCCTTCCGCACAGCCCTATATCCCAGAATATCAAGGCAGGAAATCCCACATTATTTGAGTGTGGGCTCAGATAACCCAGTTCAAAGCGGATCTTGTGGAATCTTCTTCCTTGATATTCTGGGATCGAGGGCTGTCTGGAAGAGCTCGGAGAGGCGCCCTGGACGCGCGGGAAGGGACTCTCGGGGCTTCGGGAGCGCCTGGGCTGCTCAAGGTCGCCGTGGGGCCAGGAGGGGAGGGCAGGGGGGCGCACGGACCACACTCTAGGGGGAGGGGGCTCTCATCCAAGGGGCGACGACACGCCCCATCCCTCCGGAACGAGCACGTCCAGGTCAAAGCGGTATATAATAATAATAATAATAATAATAATAATAATAATAATAATAATAATAATAACACCCCTCCTCCTCCTCCTCCTCCTCCTTCCCGGCGGTCCCAATCCGGGCCAGGCTCACCGTCCAGGGTGGGTCCCAGTCGAAGCCGCATGGTGCCAGGCGAGGGAAAAAAAACCCAAAAGAAAGGTTGGGGAGGGGGGAGGAAGGATAGGGAGGGAGAGAGGCGGCGGGGAAAGGCGCCTCTCCGGGGTTTTGTCCGGCAGTCCGGCTCCCGAGGTTTCCTGCCTGCCTGCCTGCCTGGCTAGCAGACGGGGCGCGAGGCGAGCATCGCGGGCGAGTCTGAGCGCCGCCGCCGCCGGCGGGGGATCATGGTTGGCTGCCTGACTCCCTGGCGACTCTCCGTCCCGCCGCGACCCTGGGCTCCTGGGGCCAGAGAGGCCGGAGGGAGGGCGCCTTCATCCCGGAGGCTGGGCTGGGCTCCACTCCCCGCCGCAAACACAAACACAAACGCCGCCGCGGCACCTCCAGCGCAGCGCTCCGCGGAAAGGGAGGCGAGCGGCCGGGCGGAGGCGCCTTATTCCCGGGGAAGGTTCGGGCTCCGCCCCCCTCGCGCGCCCGGCTTTTAACCCTTTGCGCCGGGGAAGGAAGAGCCGCCGCCGCCGCCGCCGCCGCTCCTGGACGCGCCCAGGCAGGCCACGCCCCCTTCCCGCGTGCCGGCCACGCCCACCCTCCTGGGGCAAAGCATGATTGGCCCTCCTTTCTTCATCCCAAGTGGCGCCTGCACGGGGTGCATCTACACTTAATGCCGGTTCCAAACCGGGATTGAGGAAAGTAGTTTCTCTGTGCGGAGGATTCCATCGGAAATGAGGCCCGGATGGATGGGGATGGCACAAGCCATCCAGGGATTTTTGTTGTGCGCCGCTCGCTTCCAAATGCGTTAGATGGGCCCTCGGAGGCTGGATCTACACTGCCATAGAATCCAGTTTGGAACTGGTCAGTGTAGACCCCTAGAATGCAGTTTGAGTGTATTCTAGGGCAGTGTTGATCCCGCCAGTTCGCCTCCTCCGCATGCCTTAACCCGGATTAAGTTCTCTCTGGATTTGACGGAACCATCCTTGATGCAAGCCGTGGATTCGCGTGGAGCTGCCTGCCTAGACTCCTGGAGTCATTCCTAGGTCAATGGATTGGCGGGGAGAGACTTGAGAAACTGCAAGTCGCTTCTGGTGTGAGAGAATTAGCCGTCTACAAGGACGTTGCCCAGGGGACGCCCGGATGTTTGATGTTTTACCATCCTTGTGGGAGGCTTCTCCCATGTCCCCGCACGGGGAGCTGGAGCTGACAGAGGGAGCTCAACCCACTCTCCCTAGATTCGCCGCTGACCTGTCGGTCATCAGTCCTGTGGGCGCAAGGGCTTAACCCGTTGCGCCACTGAGGATTCCAATCGGAGCGCATCTTGACCCAGGAGCCACGGAGAAGGCAAGTCCCCCGACTGAGCTCAGGCTTCTTAGGGCCAGGAAAGACGCTCCCCCTTGGCAAGCCTCCTTTTGCAAGGGGAGAGGGGGCCTCTGAGCCTGTGCAGAGCACTCTTCCTTTCCGAGAGGAGGGCGAAGCAGGCGGAGATCGTTTCCGGAGGGATAGGGAGGAGGATTTTCCTCCTTCTTGGCAGGGGGTTGGACTGGATGGCCCACGAGGTCTCTTCCAACTTTAGGATTCTGTGAGAGCTGTTCAGCGGTGGAACTCTCTGCCCCGGAGTGTGGTGGAGGCTCCTGCTTTGGAAGATTTTAAACGGAGGCCGGGTGGCCATCTGTCGGGGGTGCTTTGAAAGCCATTTTCCTGCTTCTTGGCAGGGGGTTGGACTGGATGGCCCACGAGGTCTCTTCCAACTCTGGGATTCTAGGAGGAGTCCTTCAAGCCTCCCTCGGGGCTGGGTTGTGCCTTCCTCGTTCCCTGTTTGTCCCCTTGAAAAGTGGAGCTGTTTCTAGAGGCCAGACTCGGGTTTCATTGCCTTGGAGAGACTGGGAAGTAACCCGATCCGTCTGGAGGAAGCGGAGTAGCCCCGTCTCTCTTTCTCGCTCTCAGTCTCCCCCAGAAATGGAAAGAGTGCTGACCCCCGACTCCTCAGAGACAGAGGGAAACCGAATTAACTGAAACTCCTCGCCACTCCGCGCTCGGCTAGAAGGAAGGGCCGGCGGGATGGATTTGGCGCCAATCCCGGACTCGCCAGAAGCCCAAGGCGGTAATAGTAGGATAGCTGGGTCCGGAAGCTCCGAGCCTTACAGCGATGCCGCATCGCCCCTTCGGGAGCGCTGTTGGCGCAAGAAAGACTTAGCTAATGTAATCCAGGCCGGAGACAGAGAATAGAGAAGGAATGGAAGAGTTCTTCAATGGTGAAACCCTTACCGTAAGCCTAACGCTAACCCCTTATCCAAAAGATTTTCCCCTCACATTAAGTCCAGTCGTGTCCGACTCTGGGGTGTGGTGCTCATCTCCATTTCTAAGCCAAAGAGCTGGCGTTGTCCGTAGACACCTCCAAGGTCATGTGGCCGGCATGACTGCATGGAGCGCAGTTACCTTCCTCGTTGGAGCGGTACCTATTGATCTACTCACATTTGCATGTTTTCGAACTGCTAGGTTGGCAGAAGCTGGGTCTGACAGCAGAAGCGCACGCTGCTCCCCAGATCCGAACCTGCAATATTTCATTCAACGAGCTCAGCAGCTCAGCGCTTTCCTTAACCCAAACCCTAAACCTTACCCTAACCCTAACCCTAACCCAAATCCTAAACCTTGCCCCAACCCTTACCCTAAGGGTCCCCTCCTTTCTATCCTTCCTTCGTTCTCCCCGCTCTCCTTCCGCCCCCTCTCTTCCCTTATTCACAGCCGCGTTTGCGGCATCTTCGTAATGCTCGGAGCTTCCGGACCCAGCTATCATCCTATCACTGCTCAACTTCGAGGACGTCTCCCATAAGGAAAGTGGCAACGCGGTCTCGCTTTGCAAAGTGACACGGGCTGAACTCCCTCGCCTTCTGGCTTCTTGCCCATTTCTCTCAGAGAGACCACCTGGCAGCAAGCCAAGGATGGACTGACTGATTGACGGCTTCTCCAAACCGATGCCGAGAAGGGACTTTGTTCCCTCTGTCTCTGAGGAGTCGGGGGTCAGCACTCTTTCCATTTCTGGGGGACTTCCTACCCCGGGGCTGGATTACTTAGAGGCCTGGAGGTGCACCTCAATGCAGTTTGATCCTACTTGAACTGCCGTGGCTCCACAGAAGTTGCAGTTTGCAGAGGCGACAGCCCTCTTGTGCGGAGAAGGCCCAACAGACCTTGTACCTCATCACACTAGAGAATGGATCCACTTTGAATCTGGTTTCTGCCTCCTGAAGAATTCGGGGTTTTGTAGTTTAGGGAGGAGCCTTTAACAGCCTCGCCAAACTGCAAACCTTAGAATTCTTCAGGAGGCAGAAACCGTATTTAAAGTGGATTCATTGAACAAGCCCTATGAGTAGCGGCTTAAAGAGCTGGCATGTTTAGCCTGAAGAAGTGAAGGCTGAGAGGAGACATGATAGCCATGTATAAATATGTGAGAGGAAGTCATAAGGAGGGAGCAAGCTTGTTTACTGCTGCTCTGGAGACTAGGACTTGGAACAATGGCTTCAAACTACAAGAAAGGAGATTCCATCTGAACATTAGGAAGAACTTCCTGACTGTGAGAGCTGTTCAGCAGTGGAACTCTCTGCCCCGGAGTGAGGCAGAGGCTCCTTCTTTGGAAGCTTTTAAGCAGAGGCTGGATGGCCATCTGTCGGGGGTTCTTTGAATGCAATTTTCCTGCTTCTTGGCAGGGGTTTGGACTGGATGGCCCATGAGGTCTCTTCCAGCTCTATGATTCTTTAGTGTGTTGAACCTCCTTGTGAAACTACAACTCTCACCTGCCCCAGGGCTGTCAGCACAGGCCGATGGGAGTTGCTGTCCATGGTTTCAGAAAGGATTCTTGTCTGGGCTCTCCCCGCTTTGCTTCCAAAAGCAGGCTCCATCAGATGTGCTCAGCTGCAAGGGAGACCATGTTATTGTTTAGATATAGAGCAGGCATGGGCAAACTTGGGCCCTGCAGGTGTTTTGGACTTCAACTCCCACAATTCCTGGCCTCAGGCCCTTTCCTTTTCCCCCTCAGCTGCTTAAGCGGCTGACAGGGAAAAGGAAGGGGCCTGAGGCCAGGAATTGTGGGAGTTGAAGTCCAAAACACCTGGAGAGCCCAAGTTTGCCCACACCTGATATAGAGTTAGGTTTTCTAGGCAAGAGGAGGTTTGCCATTGCCTTCCTCTGAGGCTGAGACAGTATGACTTACTCAAGGCTATCCAGTAGGTTTCCATGGCTGAGCAGAGATTCAGACCCTGGACAAGCCACTACACTCTGCTGCCCCTTCAATGAGAAGCAAGTCAAGAGCTCATGAAATGGCTTCCTGCCCACTGGTTCTTTGCCAAGGCAGCCCTGAGAAGTACAAAGCCCTGGCAGCCTCCACGGCAGCTTCCTGGGTTTCCCTTCCTTGGAAGAGAGAACCCTGAGAACTGGAAATGTTGGATGTCCTATCCAGCTAGTCCTTTTGGGAGTCCAAAAGAGGAAAAGCCAGTGTGGTCTATTGATTTGGGGGCCCTTCCACACAACTATATAACGCAGAACATCAAGGCAGAAAATCCCACAATATCTGCTTTGAACTGGGTTATTTGAATCCACACTGCCATATATTCCAGTTATTAATGTGGGATTGTTTTGCCTTGATATTCTGGGTTATATGGCTGTGTGGAAAGGCCCTGAGTGTTGGAGGCTGCATCTACACTGTAGAATGAATGCAGTTTGACAGCACTTTAACAGTCCTGGCTCAATGCTATGGAATTTATGGAGTTGTAGTTTTATAAGGTCTTGAGCCTTCTCTGTCAGAGAGTGCTGATGCCCCACCAAACTACAAATCCCAGGATTCCATAGTATTGAGCCATGGCAATTCAAGAGGGGTCAAACTGCATTCATTCTACACAGTCTACAATGTGTTTTGAACTGGATTATATAAATCTACACTTCCAGATAATCTGAGATAAGCAGATAACCTGGGATCAGATCCTGGGCTATAGGGCAGCATATGTCCTACTTAGGAGCAGGGATATCTGGTTTTTGATTCCCCATCTACACTGCCATATAAAATCCAGATTATCGGCTCTAAACTGGATTATATGGCAGTGTAGATGGGGCCTTAGCCTTCTCCTCCCTTTGGGCTAGTCATCATTTCTCAAACGACTCTACCCTTCAGGGTTGTGGTGAACTTCGGAGGCAGCTCTGAGCTCTTTGGCAGAAGAATGACAAAGAAAAAGAGAAAGAAGAATCAACACAGTATGAGCATATTCCCCAAATCTCATATGTACACAGACTTCTGATCCAAGTCAAATCGCCTCGGTGTTCAATGGAAAGGCTTAGTTTGAACATCTGAAGAAAAATGAAGCTGAATTCGGGGGGGGGGGGGGAGCACATGGATAAGTACTCCCAAAAGGGAGAGTTACCCTAATTTGATGGCCCCTGGAACTAGGAAGGAGGTCTCCCCGTGGAGAGGGATCTGGATCCTTTCACTGCTCA